GTGTTCTGCAGAATGAAATTTTTGCATTTAAAGAATGGGATGCAGTTCCTCAAGAACAATGCTCTGCGTTTGATTTGTAGACTGTTGTATCATCCTTGAAATTCAGAATATTTTTAAAACTGTATTATTACTACTACAATTAATATGCTGCTTGGTAGCACATTGGTTAGTTTTGCTGCCTCACAGGGCTGGGGCTCAGGGTTTAGTTCATGGGGCGCTATGTGCTTGGAGTTTGAATGTTCTCGCTGTGTTTCCATGGGTCTCCTGTGTGTATCCAAATTCCTCCCACAGTCCAAAAAAATATACTGTTAGGGTAATTAGCTTCTGGGAAAATCAGCTCTGTTGTGATTGTGTGTTTGTTTGTGTCTGTGTGTACCATTCAATGGACTGGTGTCCCATCTAGATTGTATCCTGCCATGCGTCTATTGCTTTCAAAGATAGGCTCCCTCGTGACCCTAAATTGGATGAAGCAGTTAAAAGTGGATGGGTGGATATATATAACTAATATGAATGTTTATTAATGTTGTCAAAGAAAAACATATTTTTAATTAAATGCTTTTTTAGGTAAATTGATAGTTCTAAACCGTAACTTTGTTCAGTTGCTTTCAAAAGACTAAGTGGAGAAAGGAAAAAACTGTAAAGAAACATACTGAAAGTTTTGCTTCCGATTCTAATTGATCAGTATCCTGAAATGTTTATTAAAAGGTCAGGCAGACTGCAATCAGTTGTGGTCTGCAAAACAGACAAAGAGAATCCCTAAGGCATAAACTGTTCTGTACTTACTGAATAAGCTTTATTTATTATGTTAAAATCAAACATCATATCATATATGTAAAGTAATGGATTGTTATTATTATTTCAATGTGGGAATTGTTTCAGCAATGGGATTTTTATCAACTGGAACCCAATTTAAAACATCTTACCATACTGCTGATGATATTAAAAGTTATCAGAATGGTTTTATTAATAATAGAGCTATTTTAGCCTAATAGGTTCCCGTTTCTGTCCGTCAAGTCGATGCCTTGCCTCCACTCCAGGTCCTATTGTCTGTTATGCGCTTTTTTTTGGTGCGAATTGTGATTCAGTCATGCCCTTGTCACTGGGCGTGTGTTTGCGCTCCCTCGTCTCTCGTTTGCCATCTTCCTTGTCAGTCTTCCTCGGTTTGACCCTCCCTCCTTACCGTCTACTGGCTTATTTCCGCTTTGGGTCCTGTCTTGACTCGGAACATTTTCCCTTCAAACATCGCAGATTGGCCGTCTTTCCCACTCACGACAAAATAGGGGTATTGTTTATCCTAGCCCCCTCCTTTTAAGGAAAATGACCATCTTCAGATTCCTTTCTTCAAATCTATAACGGTAAACATTGTTCTTTTTTCGTTTCTGTTTTGTTGCTGAAGATCAATTGCAGGATCGCTGCGCTGTTTTATGCTGCAAATGCATTGAGCTAGAAATCTAGAGGGGAAAAATCCTATTTATGACGGGACATATCCGTTGTGCACCTTTAAAAACAAGCTTTATTGATTTCTGATACGGTATAACTGCTTGTGTTAACGCGATTTGATTAAAATGTTGAGTTGTATCACCTGTCGTTAGTTTGTAGACCAGTGTTGCTCTTTTCCAGCTAAACAATAATCAGTCAGTGAGGATCCTGGGTTTTCTCTGCACTAGCGCTGCAGGACCAACTGTTCATACAGGCTGCGCAGAGAGGATTTCTTTATTTCTTTTGGCAGTGTTTTAATAGGACCATTCAGTGTGTTGAATAACATTCTCTTAGCGTTTATCAGTCTGGTATCTGGTAATAGTTAAGTACAGTATCAACTGGTGGTTGTTGTGCTACTTACTGTTTCATGCTCACTACAAGAAGCAGCACAGTCAAACAGATCAACCTGTACAGTATTTCCATTTGATACTTTGTGAACTGCTTGAAAATCTGGGTATAATGATGTATTGTTCTGCAGCGCCTCTGATAATGTTACATGGAAATTGCTTATCTGCTGATAATCGTGTTGTTGTCTTAACAACATCAACAAATAGTATAGAATGCAGACGATGTCTGATGTAAAGCACGTACTGTACTACGATTTTGCGCTGGTAATGACTTGTGCTGTTGTAGCAGCTGCTAGAATAGTTGTGGAAATCTGTGGGAATAGTGATGCAGTTTACAGCAGTGTTCTGGAGGAGCCAACATCCACCCATTTTCTGACTGGTTTATCCAATACAGGGTCGCGGGGAGAATGGAGCCCGTCCCGGGAACCTGAAGATGACATATCTAAATTAATTTTGTTGAAAGGCTTGGTATAAATTGAGAAAAGTGGTGGAAATTTTGGAGACTTTTTGCTTTTAACGTTAGCTTTAACTTTTTTGAAAGATGAGTATTTAACTTGGTTTCTAAGTGGAAACTTTCAATTTCCTCTGGCAGGCTTTATTTCTTTTATTGTCCTCTTTCTAACCGGTGATATATTTTGCTGTTGTAAAATAGAATTCTTCCTCAGTTTGGTATTTTTATTTGATCGTATTCTAAATACAAATAACACAGATGGCCTGAATTAAGATTTCATCAAAAATACATTTTATCTACTTTCCCATTCCCTAGAATGCTTCATAATATTGCATAAATCCTAATGCACAGGAAATTGTGTATATTGTTGTAAAATAATTCTGTGATGTATGGGAATGACTATAGATGTTTACTACACTTTTTCCTTTTTATCTGAACTAGGAAACCATAAATTATGCTGAATATTGACTTTGATTTAGACATGTCTATCAAATTATTTCAAATTTGATGGAATGACATTAATAAAGAAGAAAATTAATCCTAGTTTTTTGTATGAAATTCAGCGGAGCCAGTATGAGGTCTAGGCTCACAAATATAAAGCAAAGGGTTTTCTTCATCCCACTAATTTTAAGCCTTCCTGCTTAGCTGTATGCTTAGCAATAGCAATAATTGTTAATGTTAGTGCCTTAAATAAGCATGTTTCTCTTTGGATGCTTTTTAAAAAGATTGACAAAAAAAGGCATTTGCTGTCTGGCTTTCTTCAAGTCAGTAATAAGCTATACAGATGGGCCTAGTAGCTGAACCTCTGTAGGTGTGACTTCCTATTACAGGATCTGTGGAATGTTAGGCTGCTTAAAATAGAAACTGTGTAGAACAGGGGACGTGAATGGTTGGAGCAGTTTTTTTTTCTTCATGGGAGCTGAGTATTTAAATTTGTCTTTTTGGAATCAGGCTAACAATTGAGCTCTGCTTTCTCAGTAGGTTCTGTGGCAAAACATTGTTAAATATGTAGGTTTAATAAATTGATAACTCCTAGTATTTACACAGTGCTTTCTATCCTGAAGGATTCCAAAGAGCATAACACACAGAGGAAGACCCACTTTATCCAGTGCTTAACTGCAGCACCCAGTTGACTGTCATGCACCACCTATTATTTGCAACCAGCCCCACTAAACAGCAGTTAATTTCTCAGGACTTCACTTTGGTTATTAAAGATGCCTGGCACTGGTTATAAGAATTGGTGTGATAACTCCCGTATCCTGGTTATCCTCCACAGTGGGCTTGCACTATCTGGCCTACCCCTAAAGATCGCCCTTGATTCAATAGCTGAAGCGATTTCTCACTTCTGAACTGCTGTGTAAAGTGGGCTGCTTCCCACTGCAAATTAAAATATGAAATCATTTTTTTCGGTTACAAAGCTTGGACACTGGCCTGAAGGATCTTGGGTCAAATCTCTCTTGTCCAGGACAATGTTGTGACTTTGATTTTGAATGAATAAATACAGGTGCCTGAATGAATGTTGAACTGTTTTCCAGTATGTCATTCCATTTGTAAAACCCTCTGTTAGCCAGCAGCCTTATCACCCTGCAATTCACAACTGGGAACCAACTGAAGCTAAGCAGGTGTGAGCCAGGTCAGTACATGGATGAGAGACCTCCTGGGAAAAACTAAGGTTGCTGCTGGACGAGGTGTTAGTTGGGCCAGCAGGGGTTGTTCACCCTGCGGTCTGTGTGGGTCTTAATGCCCCAATATAGTGACAAGGACACTATACTGTAAAAAGGCGCCATCCTTCGGATTAGATGTAAAACCAAGGTCCTGACTCTCCGTGGTCATTAAAAATCCCAGGGCGTTACTCGAAAAAAGTAGGGGTGTAACCACATCGTCCTGGCTAAATTTCCCATTGGCCCTTACCAGTCATGGCCTCCTAAAAATCCCCATCTATGAATTAGCTTCATTACTCTGCTCTCCTCCCCACTGATGTGTGGTGAGCGTTCTGGTGTACTATGGCTTCCAGCGCATCATGCAGGTGGTGGTGGAGGGGAGAACCCACTACCTGTAAAGCGCTTTGAGTAGAATGTCCATATAAGCTATATAAGTGTTAACAATTATATTTCTTCATTAGGGGTGTGTTAATGGATTATATGTCTCTTTTTTTTCTTTTAGGGATTCTTGCAGGTCTTGTCTTTTTATTCAAAGAAAACGGTTACAAAAACTGCAGGCTTCTATAAAACAATATTTAAGAATTTGATCGTAGTTACACGGGAAATGGTTCCTTAAATATAGACTTTTCGGAAAGCATATTAAATTTAAATTGGATGTGATATGTATGTTTATTTCTTACATTGCTTTAATTCTGAATTTGTAATGTTAATGCAGGAATCATTCTTTTCAAATTTGATGTCTAAAGTTGATATATATTATTTTACTCACTATACTATCTGTTCTGCATTAACCAAGAATTGTTTGAAACAAACATCTGAAAAGATCTAGATATGAAGCAAATTTACTTAAATTTAATGTAAAAAAAAACACATTAACATTAACGTACAGTATCTGCAAAGGTAATAAACTGTGTCCCTGAGGTGTCCGATGCACTCTGTCCTTGACTTCGTAGTTGTACAGGAAGAGTTAATGCTGAAGATGATTGAAAGGACTGTTTTCAATTGCGAGGCTAAGGCAAAACTGAATTCTTTGCTCACCTAGAAATCTTGGTTCTCTTGTAGATCCCAGCCACTGTGGATACTGTCGGTCAGCAGTCTCGACATACACTCCTTCTCAGGTGACACAGCCCCTCTGCAGCTCTCCATTGGCTCTGGAGGAGGATCAAGGAGACCATTCTGCGAATGGGATGAATATGCTGCTGTGGGTCAACGGGCTCCTGAATTACAGCCTCTGAACCCCCTGTGCAGCTGTGGACCCAGAAAACTCATCTGATGCCCCACTCCGCAGCTTGATCTTGGGGGTATTCCCTTCTTTTTCTTCGGGGGTGGGGGGTGGCCCTGACAGAGTTAAAAAAATATTCTTCAAAGTGGAGTACCGTAAACTTGATATGGACAGCAAAAAAAAGGACAAAGACAAACCCGACGAAAGGATGCCACGACCGAGTGGCCGGTCGGGACACACTCCCCGGGGTACTGGCTCCAGTTCAGGGGTCCTCATGGTCGGACCCAACTTCCGAGTGGGCAAGAAGATAGGATGTGGAAACTTTGGAGAACTTAGATTAGGTAAGAACAGACTGCTGTACACAACAGGCAAACTTTTCCTCACTCTCATTTGACCTTTTTTTCCAGCATCTTTCAATCTGTGGATGAAGGAGCAAAGGAAGGATGACTGTTTTTGGTTTTGATGTATCCACAGATGACTTGTCTTGTTTTGGTAGTAAAATATTAACTAATGCTCTGATAACCACAATATGTGGACACTATGAATTAACAAAAAGAAGAAATACAACGTTGATTATAAACAAAATACACCAAACTGTTATTAAATGTTGCTTAAAAGCCTTATGCTTAGAAAGGAAAATGTATTTAATGTGGTACTATAGATTACTGATTAGGTCAGTAGTTTCAAGGGAATTAAGATAATGAAAATACTATTTGTAAATGAATATTACATATTTATTTAGGTGTGGTTTAGATCTGTACCCAAACTCTGCTTGTCACTTCAGTTCACTCTGTACCAGATGGATCTTGCTATTTTTTCTATCCTGTCTTTTTAACTGGAAAAAGGATTTTAGCTAATAGTCACAATATAGGAATGGTTGAAGTACCATCTTTTTGCTTTGCATTTCAACTATAGTGCTATTTCTTGACAAAAACATATGACAGTTAATGCCTGTACCATATACTGTATCTGAGTAGAAAGGGAGAAAAAAAGTTAAATACTTCAATCTTTACTGATAATCGGAGTGTTGTGTGGTGAACGAAGACATTGGAAGCATGGTGTTTATTCTTAAATATTTTGACTGTGCAGACTGTTAAATTGTCAGGTCATAGGGAGAATGACCTAAGCTTTTTCAAGTTGTACAATTTTCAGCAGTAAATGATGGACTACTTTTGTGCCAGGTAGGTATCCAAGATACTGGAATACTTTGGTTGTCGACGAAGGCACACACAATGAATGGGCTCCATACCTTTGTATTACTGTGTAGTAGTGTCAGGCTACAGCATGATAAGGATGAAATTGCTGATGTTACAGCATATGGGGTGGTTTTTTCCTGCCTAATGATTTTTGTCCTCAAGTTCCGTATTTATGTATTTGGCTGACAAATAGACTTGTATGGGAAGATAGTTCAGTATTGATGAAATTTACTTTCATGAAGAAAATAAAAGCCAGTTGAACATCTGCACCAGTTGTGAATTGTGTCTTCTGCTCTGGTAGACACAGAATGTGCACTTGCTCTGGTAGACACAGAATGTGCACAACTCATAAATTGAGTTGCAACTCAGTTTTTCTTTCAGTTAAGTTTCTGGCTAACAACCATAGTACCAAATGCTGTTTTTCTCTATTAATTTTTAAAATATTGAGCACATTTTGCTCATTGTGTTTTTCAAGCGTATCCTTTGGGGAGGTCCATTACAATTTTTTGTGTTGTTGTAGTTTTCCTTTGGGCAACTTATTTATTCTGCTCTTTATTGCATTGCCTTCACTTTATTGCATTATATCCTTGTAGTTTACAGCACTACAACAAGTGCAGCCTAAATTGAGTTAACAACTCTTGTTGACTAAGAAGTGCCAATTTTTCAATTTGAGGAAACCATGGAAAGTGAAAGATTGATCCTCTGAAAGCCATTATTTGTGAGTTTATTATTCTAATATTAGGAATAGGACAGTTGGAAGGCCAAGTGCACACATGATTAAAATTATTCTGAAATCTAGGATCACCACACCTTATTTTGCCACAGACTTAGCTGAATACTTAATAACCAACAAAGCTGAGGCAGTTTTTAAAAAAACAACTGCAATATGAAGATATTTTTTGGATTTTGCTAGTGGCCTAATGTATTGAATGTCAGCTCTCTGAATTTCTTTTTCCCCAGCAATATATGGAATTTCAAAAGTGTGTAAGCCATTTATCTTAATTTTCTGAATATTCTCCAAAAATATATGAAAGAAGACCTGACCATTATAACATGTTTCTTAGGCTTCTTGATGTTTTTTACTAGGGAATTCTGAACCTTGACAGAGTGTTAGACAACCCTCCTCTGGACACTCACAATACAGTTTTAGTGAAGGAATGTGATGCATGTGTAAATGTCTTTTTCCTAAATAAAGAAATGCAAGTCAGACATTGCTTCGAAAGACAGATGTTTCAATTAGAACGCAGATGAGGTACAGGATTCAAAGCCAGCACTGCCTCATGGACTGAAAGAATTGAAGTATTAGGTCAGCGATTTCAAGGTGACATTGGAGCTTATGACTGGACCCTTAGCTGAGGAGTGAGTTAACAGTGTACAGCCATTATGCCTCATTACGCCAAAGATGAGGTTGAGATGTGAGAAATCATTTCACCAGTTCAGTTAATGGAGAATGTTGGGCAGTCCAGATACAAGCCTGGAGTGGAATTTAGCTATATCCCTGGGATTTATACCCCTTTTCTTATGAACATGGGATTTTTAATGACCAAGTAGCTAGGACCTTGGTTTACGGTTACATCCAAAGGATTTGCAGCTCCTGTGGAAAGGGGCCACAGCTACCATACTAGTACGTTGGCTTGGAACTTTGGGTCTTGAGGGAAGATGCCACCTACTGGTCCACAATAGTAGTCAACGTAGCCTAATCTTTTAATCAGGCTCTGGAACACACTACAGTCCATAGGTATACAATGTGGCATCAGGGCACATAAATTAATTGGGACATGAATGTTGTAAAGTATGTTGGTTCTTTTAAATACAGCTATTTTCCTTTCAGAGCTAGGGTTTGTTTTTACAAATTGAAAAAATTTGGTCAGATTTTATTCTTTAATTTTTTTTACACAGGTTTACATAGGTTGTCTTGCACAGTATTTGGGGAGTTTATAACATAGCTTTTATTTGTGTGGAATAACTTAATGGACCATTGCATATACAATAATAACGTGTATGGTCTGGATAAAGTACCCATATATATTTTAGAACTTTAAAATGATTTCAACATGTTGCATAAATTAGTGTAAGGAGATAAGGAACCTAAAAGAGGTCATAGACTTGGCCTAGGCCTAAAGGAAATCATAAGGTATAGTGTCACAATAGTTCAGCTTTCTAAAATAGATATGGTGCTATCTTAGCTTTGGTTTTATCTTGTCCCTAGGTTCTTTGGTGAAATATGTTTGAGGATCTGATTTAAGCTTCTATTTGAGATTTGGCTAGTTTCTTTTTTCCCTGATGGGCGGTCCAGGAGTTAATGATAGGGGATGCTGGGGTGAGATTGGAGGTCACTTTACACAGCCGTGAGTGGGAGTTTTCAGTTGGCAATGCTTGCTGGGAACTAGAGATGTCATTTACCTTATGGCACTTAAATGTTTCAAAACATGTTTAACAGAAACTAGCAAAAAGGAGCACTCTTGGGGGAAAAATCTCCAAAGATGGATGCTAATTCTATGGACACAGCAAGAACAGCCTGCAGCTCCCTCAGAGATGGGTAATATCAGCCATATGTAGGCTAGGAGTGATACAGTGACATTCATATTTAACTATGGTGTAGATAGAAGTCTTCCCACAAAATTGTAGGCTTATTAATTTATAACATTGATTTCTGAAAATATAACAGTGGAATGCATGAATGGTAAATGTTAAGTTTCTTCTCGGTCATGTAGAAAATTGAGACGTAATTGGAAGGTGGATGTTAAAGTGATGGATAAAGCACGGCAAATTATGAACAGAGTAACTCCAGTAAGACAGCTGGTCTTGACATGATCAAGAAGATTCTATCAGGATGATTCTGCTTCTTAGGTAATATTGTGATTCTTGTGTGTTTCCTTCAACAGTCGCACCAACATGGGTGATCCCAGTAGAACAGTCCCCCTTCAAAGACTGCTGCAGTAACTCTTCTGTCTGGATCTGGTTTTTTAATCACTTTGGCATTGATGATCTCCTTCGAACCATTCCTCGCCTCTAGAGTGTCTCAGTCATTACAGAGAGCTCAGTGTTCAATTTGATTCAGTGACAATTTTTGTAATACTCTGTGGACTGCAAACTAATCTGGGAAATAGGACAAAATGTTCATGCGTGGTATTTTGTAAGGTTTAATTTTTGGGGAGAAAATACAGATTTGCATCTATTTGTTTATGAGGAACAGGTAAAGGAGTCAAACTCATCACATTAGATGGTGTGGGGGGGGAGGGGGGAGATTAAACGCTCAGAGCCTGATTAATGTTGTGTTATCCACTTTTAGATTTGTGAGCATGACAAACACAAAGTATTCCCTAGCATTGTCTCATAGCTCGCATCTTGCATCACGTTTATCATTTATTTGTCATTTGTCAAAACATTCTCTAGTACATGCTTATTAGCACATATATAATAGTCATTTGTCATTAACAGTTAGTCTATTGGTCTGCCCTAGTAAAAGTATGAATTAGTCAACAAAGAATTCTACTACAAAAATAGTAATTATGTACTCAAGGACAGCAGTTGTTGTTTTGTGTCTTGGAAAACAAAGAAAAGTGATTTCCACAACCCTTTCAGTTAAGAATTATTATTTTTTTATCCATTAAGTGAACCCTGTCATACACTTCCTGAATCTTTATTTTATATTACGTATCTTTAACGCATGTTGCATCTTTCACTGACCTACCATAAGTTGGCAATTGCATTGGTGCCCACTGATGTGCAGTTTAGCATTGATCCAAAAGAAAATCTTTAGAGATAGGAATATTTTAATCTTGCCTTGGAGAGATATAAGGCTTTCTATAGCTACTGTACAGTGCTGCACAAGCACAACAGCTTCCAGAATGGCTTCATGACATGATAACATAATTTGTAGGTCTAATGGAGGAAAGAAGTCAGAAGGGGCTGGTCAGGGAAAGGCTCTTGGACACTGAAACTAGTGGAAAACTAAACTGAGTTCAAAATGTAGGCCTAGTTAGAAAAGTGACTTTATAAAGCATAAAACTTCAACAGCTTGGATGATAGTTTAACACCAAAATTAAATCCCTAAGAAAACCGTATGAATGCAGATTGGATATAATTTACACATATGCCAGCAACCCATAATTGGTGTTGTGAACCATAATCTTACTGCTAAA